AGCCCAACCCCCCTGCAGGAGCAGGGACACCTTGAACCACATCAGGTTGCTCACAGCCCCGGCCAACCTGGCCTGGAATAGTCCCAGGGATGGGGCCTCCACCCCCTCTCTGGGCAACCCCTGCCAGGGTTTCACCACCCTCACTGGAAAGAATTTCTTCCTTTTATCTAGTGTATATCTTCTTATATCTTGGTGTAAGACCCTGCTCCTCCACGAGACACCAGCCCACCTCTGGGCAGCGGTGACGCGGTGGTGTATAAACCACCCCATGACCCTGATCCCTCCCTGCCTGAACGGATGGGTAAATTCAGTGACTGGTGGTAGGTCTCCCAGTTGCTAGTTAGGACGGTTCTACTGTAACAGTAAATACCGGACCTTGTAAAGCCTGACAGCAGGAGGAGCTGGTGCGTTTAACTGCTGAGAAACAGGTCCAGGGACTCCTGTAGTATTTTCAGCTACTTGAAGAGGATGTAGGTGGATGTTTTTCTATAAGCTGTCTGGCAAGTTCATGCTGAATTTTTGCAAAACACCAGGATGAGCCACTGAAGTAACTGCAAAGACTTTGTGCTCGCTTTACCGAGGGTTGGATTAAGCCCTGAAGTGCTACGTCTAAAGTACGCTGGTAACGTGGTTTAAACCTGCTTGAGCTCAGGGAGGGGACAGCAGCAACTCCAGGTAACTGAATGCTGTCTCTTTGGGACTGATTTTATTTTATTTACTGGCAGGATTTTTTTAAGCCATTGCCCTGAGTGGTTCTTCACAGCAAGCAGAACTGGTGGCCTGAGGAGCTGAGCTGCCATTAGAGCTGGTGCCGCTTGTTACGCTCAACTAATGCTACCAGTGTCGTTCTTGCGATGACTTGTCTTCACCATTTCACAACTGGAAAATGGGATAAATTCTTAGAAGTTAAGCAGAGTTTATTTAAGAAGGTATTAGAGAATAGTTGAAGGCTTGGTGCAAGGTTGGTATCTTCAATTTAGGTAAATGGCCTTGTGGTACTCACCTGTCGTGGTGGCAGTGGCCTTCAGAAATACCGTGCTGCTGGCAACCTGTGCCAGTGTTAATAGGGGCGCAATCCAGCTGCGTTTGCAAGGAGCATGGTCTGATCTTAAAGGCACTAACCTGAAGAAAATAAAATCCCTCAGGCAAATAAAATCCCTCAAGCAGTTTGCCTGAGCGATGGTAGCTACTGACCCTCAGCAGCCCAGGTCGGAGGTCATGGGGTGCCGACAGAATTTCACTGGCGTGTTTTGATGAGTAGGAAGAACTGGAACAAGAAGTGTGCTTTTAAAAAAAAAAAGATATCGTTACGTTAATTAAATTCCTTAATTATTCCCAAAGATGGTTTCCAAGCAGCATTTTCCAAAATATTCTACAGTTGGAGATAGCTACCTGTTAGCGGAGTGGCTTTCCTGAGGCAGCCCACTGAGCAGGCGGCAAAGCCAAGTTTAGAGTTCCGTTCTTTGACTCCAAATTGCCACAGCTATCCCTAGGTCTTGCAGGAAAAAAACCAAGTCCAGCAGGTAAACCCTAGTTCCTGCTAAAACTTTATCTGGCAATGCCAGAACAAGATAAAGCAAATCTCTCGGTGGTAAGTATCTTACAAACTGTTTTTTGGAATCGGTGGTTTTCCACCCTGAGCTACCCGTCTCTAAATCTCTCCCCGATACCTGCTTTAGCGATGTGCTGTCAAAGCCAAAATTGAGGTCTTCTGATCCTTGTGCAAGGGCACGTTGCTGGTTCATGTTCAACTTGTTGGCCACCAGGACCCCAAGGGCTTTTCCTTCAGATATACCTTTCAGCAACTTGATCCCCAGTGTACACTGGTGCCTGGGCTGATTGCTCCATTGATGCCAGGACTTTGCATTTCTCCTTGTTGAGCTTCATGAAATTCTTCTCTGCTCATCTCTCCAGCCTGTCCAGGTCCCTCTGGATGGCATCACAAGCCTCTGGTGTGTCAGCCACTCCTCCCAGTTTTGTATCATCTGCAAACTTGTGGAGGGTGTGCTCTTCTCCATTGTTCAGGTCGTTAATGAAGATGTTAAACAGTGTTGGCCCAGTGTCAACTGTTGGGGGACACTGCTAGGTGGTACAGTCCCCATCCCTAGGAGTATTTAAAAGACGGGTAGATGAGGTGCTTAGGGACAGGGTTTAGTGGTGGGATGGCAGTGTCAGGTTAACGGTTGGACTTGATGATCTTAAAGGTCTTTTCCAACCTAGACGATTCTATGATTCTATGACTGGCCTCCAGCTGGACTTTGTGCTGGCGATGACCCCAACTCGGAGCCTGGCTGTTCAGCCAGTTCTCCATCCACCTCACTGTGCAGCTATCTGACCCATGCTTTGCCAATTTGTCTATGAGGACATTACGGGAGATGGTGTTAAGGTCAACAATATCAACTGCTCTTGCCTCTCATCCACAAAATCTGCCGAACTTTATCAGCTTGGCGAAGCGTTATTTGCTTGAAGGAAATCCAGAGCCACAGTGGCCTAGCACTGGACCTTAGGAAAGCTTAGTCTGAAGTGATGGCATGAATAGATGATGAAGCTTCTAGTTGTCATGCCCTGAGTCTCCTTCATGGGGCTAGTTTTTCTGTGATTGAAAAGCTCTTCCTTTCAGCTTTTAAGCTGCACTGTCTTGGTGCCATTTGGGTAACTCAACTTATTTCAAAAACAGTTCTAGGGGGGAAAAACCCCTTGTGAGTGTTGGGTAACGTTACAGTGTTGTCCTTACAATGTTGTTTTTAAGTCTTGGATTAAGATTAACTTCATCCAGTGCTAAGATTTCCTTTGATCTCTTGCAGATACTTCAGCTTCTGGGCCAACAGTTGTAGAAAACGGTGACCATGGAATAGAAGATCACCACACAGGTACGTGCTTAATATCTGAAGGAACCACGGCAACTCGTTTATTTGTTACTGGATCGGTAAAACCTCATAGTGACAAAATGCATCTTCTTTTTGAGTCCTGTTTCTCCATGGAGGGTTGTTTTGGGGGTTTTTTAATGATCTTTTCAGAGAATTCAAAACAAAACAGAACTTTGTTCTCTTTTGGGTTTGAAATTGTTTATTTGTGTAAAGCCTCCTTCTGGAGACCTTGCATCCTTTGTGCTCAGTGCTGGGAAGGCCACGTCTAGGGCACTGACACCTAAACGGCTTTCCAGTGACTCCGTCATATTCCTGGCTGAACTCTACCCTAACCGGTGAGAATGTCTTCTCCCGTTCCCCGTGAGACTGATGGTGATGTTCCTCAGATGACACAGTTCTTTGATGCAGTTCTTTTCTTCCACTGATTCTTAGCTGCTACTGGAATCACAGTGCTTTGTCTGTTCTGCAGCTGCTCCCTCCACCCCAAACTACCCTCTGTAAGTACCTCCAAATACTTGCTTTAGCAACGCCAAAGATGAAATTGAGGTGGCCCGAACCTTTTTTCATACAGTGTTAGGGCAGCTTTGGCTGCAGGACACGTGTCGTTACTGAAGCAGAGCAATATTTCAAACTTGAGGGATCTGGAAAACAATCTTCCCAAGCAGCCCAGCGTGTGCTGTGTCAGTCGTCTTTAGCAGTGACGCTTCGTGATGAACACCAGTTCCCTTCTACGAGGCTTTCTTACTGCGAGTGGGGTTTCCTACCAAATTCCAGTGGAACTGTTTAGGGTGAACAGGACCAAACTCTGCGACCACGTGCTTGAGCCGGTGGATCGTCGCCTTCTGTGGCGAGGAGGCTGCCGACGCCGACAGGCCGTGCTGTAGCACCTCTGTTTTCTGGGGGATGACACACTAGAAAGCCGATTGCCACCCTGGCATCGGGAAGAGCTGCTTACTTGCTCTCCCTTGTCATGATCTCCAGCTCAGCTTCAGCAATTCATCGCTGCGATTGTTTGGACGTTCCCAGCGCCAGCACCCTGCCAGGCCCCTGGAGATAATGAATGTATGGGAGTGGGAGGCAGGGGGGAATTCAAACACTTTTTTGTTCTCGTTCTATTTAGCGTGAGCAAGCGTTCCTGTTCTTCCTGAGGATAGGAATATAAAAATTGATCTTTGCACTTTGCCATGGTAGCTCTGGTCAAGAGGAAGCTGTGCATCTTCGATGACCTAGCATGAAGCTGAACGGAAGAACGCTTCTGAACCTTCCTAGCGATGCCTCCTCCCTTTTTGAGACGCCGACAGGCCGTGCTGTAGCACCTCTGTTTTCTGGGGGATGACACACTAGAAAGCCGATTGCCACCCTGGCATCGGGAAGAGCTGCTTACTTGCTCTCCCTTGTCATGATCTCCAGCTCAGCTTCAGCAATTCATCGCTGCGATTGTTTGGACGTTCCCAGCGCCAGCACCCTGCCAGGCCCCTGGAGATAATGAATGTATGGGAGTGGGAGGCAGGGGGGAATTCAAACACTTTTTTGTTCTCGTTCTATTTAGCGTGAGCAAGCGTTCCTGTTCTTCCTGAGGATAGGAATATAAAAATTGATCTTTGCACTTTGCCATGGTAGCTCTGGTCAAGAGGAAGCTGTGCATCTTCGATGACCTAGCATGAAGCTGAACGGAAGAACGCTTCTGAACCTTCCTAGCGATGCCTCCTCCCTTTTTGAAATATCTATAAGTAAAAGGAGATAGAAATCAGGTTTATGATACTCCAGCTATGACTAATTAAATTGATTGGGATTTTTTTAATTACACTTCTAAATTGTGTTTAAAAATTCCTTGTTCTTCACTTAATGCTAGCTTCCTAGAGGTTTAACTCTTCACATGCTCCATGCTAATAACTTTGATCAAACACACTTTTATGTGTCTGAAGCTTCTTGATTTATTAAACATTCCATCTTTGTGGGGTAGAGTTGGATTTTTTTTTTTCTTGTTAAAGGCTGTCTACAAGTGACATCAAAGCGGTAGAAAGAGCACGTCAAAGGCTGAGGAGTCGTAGGCATTGCGTTAATGAGGCTTTTCAGAGTAACAGAAGATTTACACAACGCAACCATTTCACGGACTCCGTCCCCCTCCCCCCTTCTCTGTGGAATACTTGAGATATTCAGGCATATACATTTGAGGGGAAGGGAGAAATGCTAATTTCCCATCAGATAATGGAGGCTTTTTTCAGAGCTGAAGAGCAGTTGGTGCTCTGCAGAAATAGAGGCAGGTTCCAGCCCAGGTGACGGACGTCGGTAGTGCCTGGCCCTACGTTTACTAGTGGTGCTTTTGTCCCTGGCCCTAAGCCACCTTCAGTTTTCGGCTGGCTTATTTGCTTTCAGCTGGATCTGTTCCCTCATCTGGCTCTCTTTAAAGCTGAAATGATTCTTCTGGATGCGCGTCGTGGGCCCAGGGCAGAGGCGGGAGACGGAGCAGCTGAGAGAGGACCAAGGAAGGTGGTGCTCAAGGAGACTTGCTTTTTGCTACCAAAAAAAAAAAAGCAATGTTAAGAGCTACAGAGAGAGCTTTTGAAAGCCGAGCTGTGTTTGAGTCGGATTCCGAAACAGACCTCGGGGAAAGACGTAGTTAAGCTATTTGAAAATACAAACGTCGGCTTCTCTTTCCGGCCTAGACCACCGGCAGCATTGCCACACATCAAATAAACCAGGGTGATGACTTGCTAACGTTTTGGTGCATGCAGCATCACCTACAGACATCTGGTGTATATGTGTAGCAGAGGTTAGAATTAGTCAGGACTAAAATCTTGGTGCTGGTTCGGCAGCCTGTGCTGGCTCCTGAGCGGGAGCCCTGCTCCGAAACGCCGTTAATGCAGCAGATGGCATAAATCCAAACGGAATGTCACTCGGGGGCAAAGCCCTCTATTAACTGCAGAATTACTTTTATTATAGCAGTGATGTATTTAAACCACTGGCGCAGGGCTGTCTGCAGTTCAGCAGTTCAGAATGTACAGGAAAAACGCGAACGGTTGACTTCACGTTGGCTGTTTACTTGGGGGGTCCAAAACCGTGGCCGTGCGGCTGCGACCCCTCTGCACCCCTTTGCTTTCCCTGAAAGGGGGAGCCTGGCCGTTTCTCCGAAGGGTCTGGTTCTTGGCAGTGCTGAGCCTTACGTGCCGATTGCTTATTTGGTTTTACTGGGGGGTTGATTTTTTTTTTTTTTGAGAAGGAGAGCGACAGAGCGTGAGCTCTGGCTGGGCTACCCAGCACGTAGGCCGAAACCCTCGCTGTTAATTCCGTTCTTCCCTGGAAGGGTCAATAGGAGAGCGGCTGGTGCGGGGGTCGGAGGGAAGCTGTGCACATCTGGGGCAACTCGAGGGGGGCAGCGAGGGTGTGGGGGAACTGTGGGTGGTTCCTGATGACTGAGGGCGTGCAGGTATCGAATTCGGGAGCTAACTGCGAACCGGCGCGATGCAAAGCTTAGAGGGTGCCAAGTAACACAGCAGGTTTAAAACAACAGCTGCAAAAAGTGTGATTTTTGAACAGTGCAACGTTTGCAACTCCTTATTGCAGGATATTTGCCTAGAGTTCAAAGGAATATTGTATGTTTAAAAAGACAAATTTCTGGAAAGAAATCCATTAAGGTCTAATCTGGATACCTCTTGTTCCAAGATCCCGTCCGCTGTCTTGCTGGAAGACGAGAAGTCAGCTAGGGAGGCATCGCTGCCGGGTGGTCGTGCTTTCCCTAGCTGGACTTTCTCTCCAGCCAGCCTGCTCGTCGTTCTCCCACCCGAGCTCGGGTCACAAAACCGCTTTGTCACTGCTTTCCCTGCAGATTGTGCTTTCAAGCAGCATCCCGAGCCGCTGCTCTTTTGATAGCAATTTGCCACCGATCTTGATTTATCTCCGCTAGTTCTGGCGTGTGGCGCAACGCCGTGCCCCGGCATGGCTGGCGATATATTTTCAGACGAAATTCCATGTGTGTCTAATCTGGCTTTCGGCAAATCTCCTGGCTGCACTAAATGAATGATTGCTTGTTGTGCAGGTGCTACCTGAATGTTCATGTTTACTAATGACTTGCGCTTTTTTGCCCCTTCCCCATCCCGTTTCCCTCTCCTCCTTCTTTTCCTCTCTTCTATTTTCTCCTCCTAGAAGCCTAGACTGTCTCCCAACACTGGGGCTGCCACTGACACGAGACCAGTGTGCTTTTCTACCTGCCATTACACTTCTAAAATCTTCAGCACTTTACAGAGCTCTTGCTTTCCGTCTCTGGACTTTACGCGTAGAAGAAGCCAAAGGGTAGCTGTGCTGGCGGCCGATCAGCCCTCTCCTCCTCCCTCTCTGCTCTGCAGTGCTTCTTGACACCTTCCTTTCTTTGTGTAAGCACACACGTGCATGGTGGTTTTTAACGGCACTATTTCAGCGCTCCCACCGTTGGTTGGGTTGGTGGTGTTTTGGTTTTGTTTTTTTTTTTTTTGAAATCACAACTACAGCTCCATTTTTAGTTCAACCCCTTTCAAATTTCATTTCTATCCTTTTTCATGGACACATAATAACGGAAGGTTTGATATGAAATGTAAAGTTGTGCTTTGGTAGCGGGTGGGTCCCCCATGACTGCAGCTCCTTTCCCTTCTCCCTGTACTCACCGCAGCCTCTTAGAGCAACGCTGAGTTCTACCTGCCTTCATCCTTGCTGCTTTGAACCTGCTCGTGTGAGGTTTTTATCTTTACTAGCGTCGTCATCTTCAGAACAGGGGTTTTCACATCGTAGCACTCATTATACAGACCTGAGAAACAAATTAGGAAAAACCACATTTGCCAAGGCGCAAGCAGGTTGTGTCTGCTTTGCCAGGGGTGGGTTGGGGGGTTCAAGCACTTGCCATCAACCGGGAGCGTAGAGGAAACCCAGCAGCCCCGAATTCCTGCCTCGGTGAGCTGCTTTGCTCTTGTACTGCTTCCCGCAAGCCGTAGAAGTAAGAAGGAGAATTGCCTTTCTCTAACCTCGTGCCTCCA